AAAAAAAAAAAAAAAAAAAAAAAAAAAAAAAAAAAAAAAAAAAAAAAAAATGGACCACCCTCCAAGATATTCACGCATATATAGAATCTGCTTGCTGTGAACGTCTTCCAGTGTATTTAGCACTGATCATATTTTCATCTTAATATGTAATCTTCGATGACTAATGGGTCACGTCACTTTTGTGTGTTGCAGCGCTGAAAGTGAAGCTGATGCTGAGGCGACCGATCAATCAGCTGGTCGCACAGGGTATCATGCCTCGTAAGTACTGAATTAATTGTACTTCACCTTAATTCCCATTAATCCGCGAGTCATTGAGTCCTCAGCCGACTTTACTCCAGTTACCGGGTCTCGGCTTCGTAATAAGGAATTTACTGGTCGAACACGATAGTTTCTTTCTGACTCTTATTGTTATCTGTTTCTTCTTACGTTAACCTCCTTATCTTCTTATTCGTCTTGTAAGCCATGAAGGTTTTCAATCGATCCACTTTACCACTTAATTAACGATGGGCAAGTAACTGGGCCTTGCGACTAAGTGAGTCCCACTGTTTCTCCTCTAAGCTATATCGTCAATTATCGGTCGTGCGTATCCGTTAATTATCGATCAATTATGAATCTCTTTTTTGTCCCCCTCGAAGCCTTATGGTCAATTAATTTCGGGGCTACTCCGATCCAAGTTAACTTTAGAGACGCTCTATGCCGTGGTCTTATCTTGTTTTTTTTTCTTTTGTTTTTCTTCTATTCGTAATTTCCTGAATGTAAACGTTCCTACTTACTCGACACCCGTTACAATGGCCGTACCAAACGGAGATCGGGTCAGTCGTAATTTACGGTAGGATCCGGAGTAACCGTCCCGAATGTTTACAGGGGCCGAACGGCAGCCTACAGTAATTATTTGGCTCACACCCTGAAATATTGCCCTTGTTATACTGTCCGCGCAGTTATAGCACCCGGTATACAAGCCTAGATAGAAATACACCGATAGCATTGTTCCTCGTTCAACTCGTTCACTCATTCTGTACCATTTGCTGCCGGTGGAAAAGGCAGCAGCCATATTGCTGTGTAACATATGAGTAACGTTACTAGCGCGAATATATAAAGTTTCGTTTGAAAGTTATTTTTGGCAGATAAATTTGGAGAAATGAATTTATATTTTTTTTATAATACATATTCCCTTTTTTATTTATCGTTCAGCCTTGAAGACACCGCCGGCCTTTCACGAGCAACGGAAGCAGCTGGAACGCGCGAAAACGGGTGATTTACTCAAGGCGAAGATACAGCAGCGACCTGGACGAGATGAGCTGGTGAGACAACATATCCTCGAGGACGTGGGTCATGTCGATCCGAGTCTTGCCGAAAGGCAACGGATGCTCAAGAAGGCCCGATTGGCGGACCAGTTGAACGATCAGCTGAGTCATCGACCGGGACCACTAGAACTTATTCAGAAGAACATTCTACATACGGAAGAGCCTATCGAGAGGGCGGTTAAAGGTGGGTAGATTTTTACGTTTTTGTGTTGGTTTATTTGCTTTGATGCCTTTTGAGGATTATAATTTTTGCTTCGTTTTTTCTTAGAGGGTCACATTCCCTTCAAGGCCACTTGCGAGGGCCAGGTTACCAAACCCCAACACCCGGACCACTATATCACCTTTGAGGATGACTCGCAGAGTTCAGAAGGTGCACCCTCGCCCCAACTGGAATCCCGATCGGACGTCTTGGAGACGGCAGCGGCGTCTGCTGGTATCGTGACTGTTTCCTTGAGCATCCCGACAACCGGTGGAGCCGTCGTGGTGACCTCCACGTCCCCAGTCTTCCAGCAGGCTGCTGTTGCGGCTGCGACCTCTGAACCCACGATACAGACCTTTGCGGAACTCTGTAACAGTGTCGTTGGGAATCAGCAAGCCGGACAGCCGACGAGTCAGCAACAGCAGCCACATCAACATGCATCCACTCAGGTAAATAAATGAAATATGAAGAGTTAAGTAAGATGAAGAAAATAACGGTGAACGGAAACCCTGAGGTTCTTTCATATCCTTTTCGACGATATTCGGTGTAAGTTCATATTATTTGTAATAAATGATATTCGGAACTTTATTGATTCCATTAACGAACTTTCAGGCCAGTCAAACAAACGGACCGACGGCGACGCTCCTACCACTGGCACCAGCGCCCAGTCCCATGTCCCTGGGCTCGACGACCTCCAGTTTGAGTCCTTTATCGAATATTTCGATAGCCTCGCCCCCAGCTCCACCCCCAGCAGTAATAACCCCGAGGCCACAACCATCTCCAATAGCTGTTTCTGCCTGTCAGCGTAGCGACGCTCCCGGCAAGGACAAGAACCGGAAAAAGTCAAAGACCAAGAGCCAGCCTAAAACGCGTACCATCAAATTCCACGAGTACAAGGTACATTACTTTGGTAATATGCAAACGCTTATTAGGAATTCCTTTAGTAACTAGGCCAGTAGGTGCAAGAAAGCCACCCGCAAGTCTAACATATTAATAATGACTGACCAGTAGCGCTCAGGACTAATGACTAACGTCACCTTCATGTTGCCAGGGTCCGCCAAACGCGCAAAAGACGTCGGTCTCGTCTACGACTTCCGGTCTCGGCTCGGCACCCCCAGGCGAAACTAGTTACGAACTGCTTCTGCAGCAACAGCAACTATTTCTTCAATGGCAGCTCGAATGGCAGCATAAGGTACTATATCCTACTACCATAACATTGTCTCTCTCTCTTTCTCTCTAGTATGTTGAACAAGATGCAATCTCTCATTAACCTCATGAAATTACGTAATATAATCAGCGTGAACCTCCGTTTCATGACCCTGCATATTACTAATGCACTCATCTTGTGAACTAATTATTTTTCATGAGTACACGTCACGATTCTTACTGATAGATTATGTGTGTGTCTTTGTCTTTCAGTACCCGCAAATAATTTTGCCAGCTGCACAGAAGCCTTTATCGTTGAACAGTAGCGGAGCTAGTGACACGGGAAGTGTTAGTGGAAGTAGTGCAAACGCACCAAGTCCCGCTCCCTCGAATTCCTCGACAAACCCTTCCGAGCAGCCACCCCTTAGGCCCCTTGGTAAATTGGAGGATATGAAAGGTACACATTGACGGAATATATTTTTCTACTAGTTCCGAATACATATGTTAAATGTTAAATATGTTATTTACAGTGAGTGACCTTAAAGTGGAATTGAAGCGGCGAAATCTTCCAGTTTCCGGTTCTAAGCCTCAACTTATAGAGAGACTCAAACCCTTCACGGAATCGTCGAGCACTAATTCGAACAGTAATTCAAATGGACCGCACGTTACGCATATGGGACATATTCTCATGGATACTCCTGGTCCCATGACTTCTGACGAGTCCAGTTCACAAGCCAAGAGTCCCGGATCTCCTGTAAAGGATGAGCCAACTAGTCCTAGAACGGATTCGCCACCTGGGAGTGAACATGACGACCCATCGAGTCCACCAGGTAATCATTTGATGAAGCCCCATTAGGAAATCGTTTCATTATTTTCCGGCTTAATCGTGGATTTTTTTTTCGAATGATAACAGGCGACGATATTATCAAAGAGCAAAGGAAACGAATCGAGGAACTTCAAAGGGAACTGTATAAATCCCAGCAACAGCTTCAGCAAATTCGACAGACTCAGCCAGCGACAGTGCGCGCGGAGAAGCTTGTGCTGCAGCAACACATACAAAATAAAATGCAACAACAACAGTTGGCGTTGCACTTACAACAGTTGCAACACTTGCAACAGCAGCAACAACAGCACCAGCAGCAGCAAAGTCAGGCTCAGCAACAACAGCAACAGCAGCAACAACAACAGCAGCAGCAGCAACCACAGCAGCAAACTCAACAGCAAACCCAGCAGCAACACGCAACTTTCCAGCAACTTAACGCTAAGGCTAGTCTTGCCGCCTTTCTTCAGGCTCAGCCTAACAACACTACAGCGATATTGGATTCCGCTACTTTAACAGCCATTAATAATAAGAAGAACCAGGCTAAGAACAATGCCACAGTTCAACTGCCTGCCGCCATTGTACTGAACCTAGCCAAACCGACGAAACTCAATGGATCTCTTCTGGGCGCCCTTGTAGCCCAGGCGCAGGCTCAACAGCAGCAACAACAGCAGACTACGGCTGAGGAGGGAAAACCACCGCCACCTCAGTACGACGAAGCAGCAAAATTGTTGAAGGTAAATATTTTTTTTAAACTTTTCCACTCGTACGCAACCCGTGACTATATTTATTTTGTAATTTAGGTCAAGATCGAGCCTGTGCAGAAGAGTCACATAAAGAGCCAAGTCGTTGATGACGTTTTGGAGATTCTTATAAAGAACGGAGAACTGCCCCCAAGCGCGGCGCAGGATCCTGCAACGCCAACGATGACAAATCGACAGTTACAACCAAATTTGGTGTTCACAGCGCCTGCCGACAGTCCCAGTCAGTCGCTTGTTTTTACAACAACGAGTCCCATCAGTCCTATCAGTCCTATGGCGATGGAAGTTTCACAAAGTGGCTGTCCAAGTCCTCCAGCGCCACCGCCTCCACCACCTCCGCCATTACCCTTAGCTACATTCTCAGTTCAGTTACCCTCGGCTCTGCAACAACAACAGCAGCAACAGCAACATCAAGAGGAAATTCCATCATTCAGCGCGGATCTACTCAGCTCTGAAGTAGAACTTAATGCAGCAATGTTATTGAGTCCTCAGTCTGTTCAGCAAGGATCACCGGATCCTCAACCGGCTCAGGAAGTTACGTCATCAGATAACACCAATCTAGATTTGAAGGTAAACTATCAAGAAATTCTTTAATGGCTCATAGATATAATAATATTCTGATCGTCATTGCTGTTTCTTGTTATAGGAACTTGGTTTAGATTTGGAAACCCTAGACACCATGGACTTTGGTCAATTAGATTGCGACTTAGGTGTTAAGATGGAAGCTCCCCAGGAATTAATGGATATCGGTGACATGCCTATGGATATGGACGATCCTGATTGGTTGGATTCACTCATGCCACAGTCACCAACAGCCTCCACAACGAGCACTTGTCATCACACCACACCGGCAGTGACTCATTCATCGGGAGTAGATCTCTACGATCCACTCCTGGCCAATAGTCAGGATCCCTTTGATCTATTCACAATGGAAGATTCGGACTTCAAAATACCTTCCGACCTTTCTCTAACGTGGGACAAAGTTGACTTTGCCACTTAGCCCCAAGTGTGCCTCTAAAATTGGGCCTTTTGTACTTAAGAGCTCAAAATGGGACTGATTAGTAACTTTGAGCCTCATAGGAAGTTTATCCGGAAGAACGGGATAGATGCAAAGGCAAGAATGATTTTTCGGCAGAATGATCGTACCGGACCAACTTGTAGCGCGTGTCGCGTGTACTTAATGAGAAATCACGAGAAAAGTAATATAGGATCAGTCTTAGGATTTTCAAATATTCACAAGCTGGGCCTTACCTTAGTTAAAAGCGCGCGGGTCGACGTTGTACACGACTACTATTGTATAATTTTCCACTGATTCGTACATCATCCTTCCTCCTAATCCTAATCCTGATCCTTATCCTTTTCATGCGTTTCTTTTTATCCTTTCTAAAAAGATAAAGAGAGGAAATAGCTACAGGACCATATGTATACATACATATATATACGCATATATATCACTACATCAAAAGTTCTCCAAAGAGTCCTTCATCCACCCTTAATGAACTCGCTTGAATCGCAATCTTCTCTCCGATTCATGCGAAGTAAATTAGGTAGTTCTACTACTCTATTGCCCAGCCTACAAATCGTGTGTTGCTTGAGTTTTTTAACAGCGGATAGCGTGTGTGCTAAAAAAAAAAAAAGAAGTAAGCAAATTGAGAATACGATCCTTATAGCGATCTTCTCATATGCCCTCCCTACGAATAATGGATCATAACATAATCGCGTAATACACATATACAAGAATTAATATAATTTTATTAATTGTAAAAATACACTACGTAGATACATAGAATATAGCTGTATACTTGTGCCCAAGAATCCAAGGAACTCCCACGGTTCCAGGTGCCTCAAAAGGACTCACGGCGAGTTCCTTAAGGATTCTAGGGTGCAGTTTAAAACGAAAAGAGGACGTACTCGTTAAGCCCGATGTAATTTAAGGAGACGCGGATGCCACGAACTTAACCATTAAGATATCAGGTATAAAAGTGCGTCTGGCGTCTCGGCGCAATTAAAAGCATAAACGCAACGGGATTAAGAAGGGATGGACGAGTGCTTAGAGTGCTACCACAATGTTTTAGAGTGTCACAGTGCTAGATTGCGTAAGACGCTGTTACGCTTAGCGTAAACGGTATGTTCGCAGAGAGTTCAGAAGAGACGACGTGGATAGTAGGGCCATGCGAATGGTCGTTATTGTTTCTCATCCGAGGATCGCGAATCCCCTCTTTCTCTTTATTTTATTTCTTGATACTTTTCTTTCTTGTCATTTTGTAACATTCCATGTTTTCAAACTCGAACGTCCAACGAGAGATGAACTTTCTTTAACGTAGAGAAACCTGCTTTAGTAATACGTCCATTAATGACGATTCTGACAATCATCCACGTCGTCTCCATGTTCTCTTTCATATATCCTTGAATTAATTGATCGTGCACTTTGCTATCCTTTCAACGAGCATTGTCTTATCATGTATTATCGTACCTACTACACATCTCTTTCTCTCGTTGAAATCCTCGAAGGTGCTATCGTTCCGGCACGACGGGTTGCGACCAGGCACTGACGGTTCTTTTTTTCTTTTTTTTTTTTTTTTCTAACCATACAATTGCGAGAGACATTCGTAAGCTCATGACGCAAAATATTCATCGTCTGTACTGTTGCATACGCTTTCTCTCTCTCTTTCTTTTCACTTTCGAGAAGAGCGTGCACGGCCAGTATCTGGCGGGGATCTACGAGCAGATGGAAAATTGGTGCAAGGAGACAGAAGACGAATCAAAAAGAACATTCCAGATCAGTACTTCGGAGATTTATTCGCGTCTCCGGGTGTCCAACACCCTTCCCTCAAATATTTTTTTTTGCGTTTCACTTTCTTTGCGTTTCCAACCAAGCTTCTTGCACGGCTTTTCCATCCACTGTCCAGCCGAAAGGTGTTGCGTGGTTCACAGTGTCGACGCATTTAAAGGAACCGGACAGAGACTGTGTAGTCTCTTTAGCTGCATTTACAAAATAATTAAATAGAGAGGAACAATCGATGAGAGCGATTGGGTCGTGAGTTTTTGGTAGGACGGAGAGAAAGAAAAATGGAGAGAAGGTAGTAAGGTTGAGAGCTTTGGTAAATGAAAGTAAGGATGAGAGCTACATTGAGAAAGGAGATTGAGTAGTGATGATATCATTGATTTTAATTAATCGAAGATAAGATCCCGTGAGCACCGTGTCGCTTCGTCGGCACCCGTTGCCATGACAATAAGGATTTTATTCTTCTGTAAAATATTGTAATATATATATATATATATAATATTATACATACAAACGTATATGTATACGTACATGTAAATCACACATAAGACCATTATACATATACAATTATGTTATTTGCGATCGATCGTCAAACGAGACGAGCGTATGTAATTAACTTAGAATTCTTTCGTGGAATCGTTAATCATGAATTCGTTGATGATTGATTTGATAGGCTGTGCGAATCTTGGTAGTCCGCTACCGAATGCGAGGTGCATGCTTTCTATTATCCTTGAGCGCGAAAAGGCGCGTGTGTGTGTGTTTGTTTGTGTGTATGTGAGAGAGAGAGAGAGAGAGAGAGAGAAGGCGAAGGAGAGAGTGAGAGTAATAAGACAGCGAGGTGTGTCTGTATGGCTGGATGCACGTAAATGCAATTTAAAATTTGCGTACTTGCATGCGTATCTGTGTGTGGAAGTGTATGGAAGGAAGAGCATGTTCGAGTGACATTCACTTAGCTAAGCAACAATTGAATTGTAATTGTAATGACGTACTTCTAAGTAATGATCAAGTAATTACTTGCTAGAGAGAGTGTTATTTATTTTTATTTGTTGCAAATTTATCGATTGCCTTCCATTTGAGTAAATAAATAACTAAAAAGTTATTCGCTACGCTCTTTTCTATTACTCTTCCTTTCTTTTTTCATCCTTGCGCGTATAGCTCAAGTTCTTCGCTGGCTTTGGACTTCAGGAAGTTTTACTTACAATTAGTTCCAAACTCTGTCACAGCTGTGATGGTTCAGAAATATTTCATTAGGGGGCACGGAACCAGTTTTACCATTACAATTGTATTTTTATTGAGAATAACTTTAATGAAGTAATTACAATGGTCTATAGCAGACGCTCATAAAGATAGATTGTAAAGCATCTCGAGAAATGTAAGTACAACACATTTTCTCTGGCATTACCACAAAACGTACCGTGTCTCTGTTAGTGCCACAATTATCTGTGGTACTGTCGTCATTCAAGATCAGATTACTTTTATGACAGAGAAATCCAGTAGATGCGGAAAAGTCTCGATCCATACGGATTACAGTTATGTCAACTTAAGAGTCTGATGTTCGATGACGACTGTAATATAAAATATAATTTCAACGGATGCAGAGCTGTGAAATATAGCCTCTTCTTATCCTCTCCTGTCCTTTTGTCTTCCTCGTTATTAAAAGGGATTTGCGAATAGAATATATTCGAATCATACATAAGGATGATGAATACATTCTATGAATTTGCACGCGATCTATGTACAGTATGAAAGTGGCCGATCGCTTTCACAAGCAGGGACTGCAACAGAAAGAAATATCGGTTCGATTACAGTCTTCGCAATGGCTTCAATTTCGGTTTTGAATTTTTCATTCATCATTTTTCATTTACGGTTTTCAGTTTCGGTTTTCGATTTTAATAGTTTTCGTTTCGGTATTAAAGAGAGATAGTTTTTGGTATCAACTATTAATTTTCTGTTCTTCCTTTTACGTTTTTAGCTTTCGGTTTTCAGGTTGGGTGCGTTTCTACCATAGACATGGGAATGGGTTGAAGCAAAAACTGGGGTTAATGAAGAGGGGGATGAAGCCAAAATGAAAGGGGGGGGAGGGGATTTCGCCGCATAACCAATTAAATGCAGGCTGACTGAGCCTTAATATGATTGGTTCTGCTTGTGCGCATAAAGAAACGACAGACCTTACGTAGTACTTTTACATCCATGCGCTGGCTCCAAATAGTAGTCAATTAAAAGTAGGCACAGTTTACCTTCGTAATCCCCCCCCAACACCTCTTTAAACGGCTTCCGACCCGCAGCGTTATGCTCCGTTCCTATATTTCTACGTCCTATGGAATACACACGCTTTAGAGTGTCACCCGGTATAAATCCATGCGCCTCACGGAGTTCACGAATAACACGCGTAGCATATGTATTTATACTCGACCAAACAGAAACGTGGATACGATTCGACGACCCTCCACTCAGGTGGCACGTCGACGCTAAAATAAAATTGGTTTTAAGAAAATCGGCCCACTGGAAATTTCGTTACTCATCTCTGCTATTATAAATAAAATACATTCCGATTGACAGTTTCGGTTTCGGTTTTCCACTGTAGCAATTTCAGGTTTTCGTTACGGTTTTAGGTATAAGATATCTGAAATTACGGTTAATGGTTACGGTTTCGGTCCCTTATTTTTCCGGTTATTCTCGGTTATTAATTTCGGTTTCCGTTACGATTGCGGTCACGGCCAACAACTTTAAATAATCAAGCCCAAAGTCAGTAGACCTGCCCTCTGCCGTGAAACGTCAAAACTAAAAAGTAATCAGAAACAGCTTGTAAGACATGTCGATAGATGTCAGCACTATTCGTCCTCTACGAAACAAACTTCGATCGCCGACAGAATCATGATGGCTGACAGTTTCATGCATTTGGTGTACGGTGGCGTGAGTCCAGACGGTTCGTGTTACAAATTGACCGGCAGACCGGCATCAAGGAACCAGAAAACAGAACAATCCAAGAATGACAGAGATTCCAGCACCAATCGTAAGCAATGTCAGCTCCGTTATGACAGCGACTAAGAAATTAATAATTTCATTCGCTAGTTCCTTGCTAAAGTTAGTACCTATCAGGCTTTATATTATGTTTATATAAAAACCATAGCTTTTCCTTCATACGCTTCTTATTCAGTTAGTCCCTTTCGTTGGAGTTGCTTCTGCAAGATGAATTTAAAAATATTTATTTCCAACTGCTAACAATACGAAATACATTGCATAACGCGCAAACGCAGCTGGTCCATTGCCCTTCCACCTGACGTCATCGGTTATTCTGTCACCTGTTTGTAATACGTCACGAACCTGACATCCCTTCATATAGGTATACACACTTTCAGTATTTTTGCATGTAGATTATAGCTACCGTAAGTAAGCCAGGTACAGTTCCTGGGCTAAAACTGTCCCACTTCTATCGGATATATTATACATACTTATGCAAGTAATTTTCCATCGTCTTTTTTTAACCCACCTCAACGCGATTCAGAATATCTATTAGAGCCTGACGTATCGCGGATAGAAATGTTTTTTAGCAAGATCCAATTTATACATACGCAGACGTTTATTTACTGCTTAACAGTCCTTACGTATACAGATCGTATACATATAAGGATCTAGTGAGAGAAAACTAAATAAAAGAGTTGTGTTAACAAAACTTTCGCACACTATGCATTATTCATTTTATTTCCCACAAGTCATCCCACGGCAATTATAACAGTTATGAAGAAAAAAAAATAGTATCAGACCCATGTAAAACTTTATCATCGTCCGCACGCGTGGGATAAATATCATCAGAGCTTATTAAGCTTGACTGGTGCGCCATCCATCCACTAGATGTCAGTCAACGTTTAGTTTCTCGAAGCTGCATAGAAGAAACTTAAAGACGAGAAACAAAGCAGGAAACCTTGTGTATACAAATCCGACAAAAGTTCTAATAATACTAAGGCGACGTTCGAAATATTTCTTTTCGCCTGTTTCTAAATGGAAATTCGAGGTATGCCAAGTCCAAAGATCAATAGGAAATTATTGTTGGTTGACCAAAATATTTATATTATACCACGTAAACGTTGACTTCCGACCAGTACGTTAGTCCAGCATATATGTATGTATAGGATACACACGTGACAGACACCTACGTTTGGTTTGAACGTTTACATGCGTAATGGACTTCGCGATGATGATGTCATTGGCTAGGCGATGATTCGCTCGACTCGAGATCCTTAGGGTTATTCTTAGCTCGATGACACCCGCGGAATGCGTCCATAACACGTTCCGAGCGATTGTTTACGATCTCATTGCTTGGAAACGCCATTCAGTCGCGCTTAACCACCTTGCAATACGTGTATTCTATTTTTGTAAGTATATCCCCAAGTAAGTAGGATATATTTATTTCCAAGTCTTTACAGAAATATCGAAAAGTCTTGTTATTCCCGTATACGACCCACGTTAACGTGTCATTATACGTTGCTCTATCCTTCCTGTGGAATTCCACGAACAACATCTGCATATTGAATTAAATTGACCGAGCCGCAGACATTATTGTACCACGTTCTGAAGCAAGCACAACAAAATCATACCTTTCCAATACTGGGCGCCATTACTAATAATCATCATTATTATTATTCAACAGATATTGATAATAAAGAAAATAATAAAACAGCTAGCAGTCAACGCCTGGCCAAGTAGCTTGTTCCATATTACGATATCTGGTGCAGCCCTCGCCTTTTCCTAAAATATATGGAAACTTGACGACACTGATGTCATAATCGGAATTAACCAGAACGGCGTTAACCGTTGGCAGGATGGTTCTGGAAGTGGCTTCCATATCCTGGAAAACGGTACATCGTGCCCTGGCTAAAATACAGGCAGTGGTGTTGACGAATACTTGTGCCAGCTGTTGTTCGGTCCCGTTAAAAACGGTTGGTAAAATTTCCATTGCTTCACCGATGCATTCTCTGATCTGTAACATTGTTTGGTTCTTATCTTTCTGTCCTTTCTTTTTTTCTTTTCATATTGCACGCCTCTATCGGGGATCGCGAGGATCCACTGGTTCCGCTCCAGGTCGCTTGGTACTTCCTTCGTTAAAATCCCGCACGACGCACAGGACTCTTCTTGGACGCAGGATACGTCTTCCCAGGACGAAACCTTCCTGCCTCTTGATTTCTCGAGCGTCCTACACGTATTCATGTACATTCGGTAATTGAATTTTTCCCAATTACAGATCTGTATATAGACTTTACACAGAGTGATATTAATTAGATGAAAGGCCGGCGAGTCTTTTTAGGGTTCGTCCTGGTTTACAGTAGCTGCTAAATAAATTAATTATCCACTTACAAGCATATCCTTGTTAACTTGTCGTACGCATTCCAAAAATGTACAGTAGATCGTGTTGGGCGATGTTCTCGAGCTCGCCGAATTTGTTGCATTCTGCAATGACATTGCTTATTATCATTATTCGTTCTTCTACGATTAATCGACATGAAATATTCATAAATGTCGAGAGACAATTTTCTTACTTACTCGTATGTATCTCTGACAGTGACCGTAATCTGTGTTATTCAAGTAAATGTCAGCGCAGTTAGACATTGCCAGTAGCATTGGATATCCAGAAGCTTGATTACTCGCTCTAAAGAAACACCCGTAGCACGCATCACGTTCAACGGATGACTCGTCCTGAGAGTCATTGCACAACTGATTCAGCAATTGGACGGTTCTCAGGCTAGAATTATTTCCAACAGTTAATACGGCGTACGGCTGTAATACCATAGCGAGACTCACTTGCTGTACGTAACCCATGGCCCGATGGATTTAGCCAGTAATCCCTCCTCCAGGAAAGAGTGCACAAGGCTTGCATTCCAAATCCGCATCAGTGCCAGTAACAGTACAATTTTTCTAGTAAACATGCTGTCCTCAATCGTGTTTTTTTTCGCACTATGTATACCCTCGACAATGTCGCGCTTTTATACCCAGTAGCATAAAGTGCACATACCAGTCTTCATATATTTATATAGAACCAGTGGAGCTGCATACGAAGCTCGTACCCGTAATTGACCGAGTGCATCATCGGCCAGTTAACCGGTATCCGTTCCACTGTCCTCAAAATGAAAAATACACTGCGCTTATCTCTTGTGAAAAGGATCATGAAAACTCATCGGAAGTGTTACTGTTCTTAGCGAGGATGTACACCTGCTGATAATATCTCTTTGAACGTGGCGCAGCACGCGACCGTCGTCGTTGCACTATGTACACGAGGACTGTGGTACTGGCTTTAGGCATAGGGAGAAACGGGATACGGTTAACGGTTAAAAGTATTTAAATCAGCACGAAAGACGAGGAATGCACTTCCCGGTTGGAATGCAAGTAGCGGATGCAACGTGACACCGTCTCCCGGTTAGTTTCGCGACATCGCGACGCCTCGTGGGCGGCAAACGAGAAGAATATTCCAGTGGCTAGGAGTAAGGCGTATATACGATATGATGAGAGAGAGAGAGAGAGAGAGAGAGAGAGAGAGAGAGAGCGTTAACTGTAGGCCACTGTTGTGGGTGGGCCCGGGGTAAGAAGGAGACACGAAGCGTCGCGTCGAATTTCTCGGATTACATAAACGCAAATAATCTTCTGAGTCACTCTAATTCTGGGTCTGGGGATGCACTTTCCCTCCCCTGCACGACGCTCGCTTCTCTCGTCGTTCCGCCAATCCTGCCGACGTGTCTCATGCGTCTGGCGCAGAAATAGCCGACGTGTTTGTCGAGCGTTGCGCACTGGCCCACTTTTCACTCGTCTCGCATCCAGCCGTGCATTCGAAGCCATTCGTTATCGCTCGGCCGCTATTTCTATTTTATGTATAGTAAACACTGCATGGATGCATATGCCTCTTTGGGGATGCACAGACTGTCTTTAACGTCTGTAGCCTGTGTAACCATTTATCCCCTCGGTTTCTTCTTTGGGATATCCAACACTTCCGCTGTGGATACATTAAGGAAGGATACTGGCTAGCCCGGAAATTGACGGGCATCCCGCAGTGGCGTGCATTAACCTTATCATTCATTATACTTTTTAGACTGGGATGAGAAATGAGAATTGCTGGAAAAAATAAAAGAATTGTAACGGTACGAAGGAATTGGATATATAGAGTAATAGTAAGTTACGGAGGATCTCAAGGAAATATATGTACATGTTATAATTTGGCGTTGGGCTATTTTGGAGACGATTTAACTTACGTATTGGCTACTTTGAGGACACGCGGCTGTTTTGGGGTCCGAAGAATTTTTAGCGTAACGAATGCTTTCAGGACCATAAAGCTGGGTGTCACACCAAATTTGGCACCGCGAGTCGTGATGGGCTTAGAAAATGTTTCGTTAGGTTAGGATAGGGTGGAATTCCAATGGTGTGACGTCCCAAGATAGTAGTTTTTTTTTTTAACGCGTCAGCTCATTATTGTGAATGCCCCTTTATGTTTTCTGTCCTCGAAATATACGATCGACAGGTTTATATATACATAACCGGACATAAATATAAATATAATATGTTTCTTATATATATATTTCTATACCGTGGTAAGGTCGCAATTTAATATTCATAAAATATCTTAGCATGTACCATACTGTAAGATGGTTTCTCAATATAAAACCCGCGACCCCTGCGCGTGGTATGCAATATGTGTAAACCTAGCATAACGGCAGTCAACGACCTTTGTCCTTATCAGAACAACAGTCAGACATCTCTGACCTGCGTTACGTCCGGAATTCATTGATAAAGCCACACTGGAATGCGGAAGCACCTGTCAATCGCTAGTGGGAGTACTACATGAATTTACCCAGGCAACCGCAGCATTGTTTTGATGCGCAGTAATTTCCGCGTAATTGACATACGCTGTATTGACTATTGCATTTTCTGTCATACGATAGTACTATTAGTATCAAAGACGCCTCAATCAGTAATGTATTTTGGATATACATTACTAGCTATAGCACGACGTATTAGTCTACGTATATATATATTCTCCATTACAGTTAGGGTGCGTCTCGATTTCGCTATGTAAGACAAGAATGGAAATGGTCGTATCGCTAAGCAAACTTTCGACGGTAACGCTAAGAAATTGGTTGGCAGCAGGAGGAAAATGTACCCGACGATAGAAATCAGTTGGCCACGTGGAACCGAGTTGTATTACTCCCAGGGGTGTAATCTCCGGACGCATTATCGTTATCCCGATGGATATTCTCATTGATACCATCCCCCGTTTCCCCATAGGTTTACGCCGTACCACACCCTTCTCTACGTGTCTCACAATCTCCCTTTTTTTTTTTCCGTTTTTTAACCTCTTTTCCTACCTTTCGTCCATATACAAGCTGCTCTGCGAAATCGTAACAGTTCTCTTTCGGTACATGGATACCTATAGTACCACCCTTTACATCGAGCCTCGTATCGCGATTTTTCCGGCATCCAATTCAAATCGACTTTTCTACTTCCAGAGTGTATTCGCTAAGACGTACATTTGAGGTTTGCGGTGAAACGGTGCAAGATTTTTATCGAAAACCGAATATCTAGATTTACAAAATTGTAATACAAATTTTTTTTGCGTCTCAATTTTTACCCGTATCTCAAAACAATTGCGAATCACGTGTTCAGCGTGAAGCTGCTGCACGAATCCAGTATGGAAAATCTGTGAAAAAGTTATGAAATTTCGAAAGCAAATATATTCCACGTCAGATTTTTTAAATTCTGCACCGTTTCACCTCAAGCCGCGACAAGACACGTGGTTCACAATTTGGCGTATTTTATATTTTTCACGAGATAACGAGATCGCCTTAGGACTTCTTTTGACCTTTATTTTTGTTTTTCTTATTACATATTTTTTTCCTCTCTTTATATGTTTTCCACGAGAATTCTCTGCGTGGCGAGAAACCGGTTGCGCGCACTGACGTCTCATGAACCCTGATCCCGTTGGACGTTGACAATTTCAGGAGCAAAGTAGGGATCCTTGTTTGTCGTTATATATGGAACATAGACGAACACTCTTATCCGCATAGGCGATAAGCAGATACGTATATATACGCACGTGACAGAGTATACGCGAGGAAAAACAGAAAGAGATTTCCTTTTAAAGTTGGCGGGCTAACGGGTGAGCGATTTAGCGCAGCGAAGACGCGCGTCCACACTTGAACAAAACACGTTTCGTTCAGTCAGTTCAAGTGCTCTTAGCGAAATTAAATCCCACGTTTGGCATTGACTGCTGACGCAAGTCCATTCGTATGTTCCGACCACCCCTTCTACCATCTATCTAAGCATATATATATATATATATACACATATACACATATATACATATATATATACATATATATATACATATCTAAATATATATATAAATATACATATACATATATCTAACCATTTTTTATATTCCACCCTTTTCTACCCACCCCTTCGGAGCACGCAACAAATTTTCAGCTTTGCAATTCGTTCGCGTCTCCAGCTGCTGCGTATACGCTTCCCTTGGTCTTTCCCTGTCCTCCACATACGGAGACGGAGAGTGACGGGGAACGAGAGGGTGAAAAAAAAAGAGAAAGAGAGAAAAATTTTCTCTCAATGTCCCCATAGTATATGTATATTGTTATCGTTAGTGTTATAGGCACGCGAAGCGGCCCACTTTACTTGAGCTCGCTTCCATTTCGCGCCTTATCCTTGATTCTTCCTCTTGCCTTCCCCTTTCATCTCCAGCATTCTCCTCGACCTACTCCCTCATCCTTTCACAACCCTCTGAGCAACTTTACCTCTCCATCGAAACGTTATATCCGTATCGCGGAGCCACTTCGTTATCCCCACCGTTGCTAGAAGAAATCTTGTTCTTGTCGCAAACTTTCTCAAAGCCATTACTATACGGACGAACGCTGATAAACATATTCAGGTCGTTCCCTATTCGATCTAGTACTTCATTTCTTTTTTTTTTTTTCATTCTTGTAAAGGATAAATCAATGATTATGATATCGCGTACGGGATTTACGACCATTCTTTTCAAGGTTGCTGCACTCGGAATTAAATCAAGTGCAACGAAGGAACTGCACTTTGCACTTTATCTTGTGCCAGTTGACATATGCACGTGTTAAGTTATTGCGTGCGGATATCCTTGTGCATGCAAGTGGGCATGTGTACTTTTCAATGTCAGGGTACGTTAAGCTTGTAAGCCTGAAATGGGTACAGGGACTCCTAGTGCACTTTCATAGCACCGTATACTTGTTATTGAAAAAATGCAAGAGCCATTCGGCAAAGGGCGCGAATTATTTGAAAATAAGTGATTAAAGAGGTGGGCTGGCAGGGGGGGGGCAAGTTTATGCGCCAAGAAGTCAAGTATCTAAGCGGAAGGGTTCTTAAGCGAAGGGTTGATTCGGCTACCCTTCCAGAAAACTTAAGTCCACCCTTCGTCAAATTTCTATGTAAGTGCCCTTAGAGCAGAAGAAGCCGTTCTGAGTTTTCGTAAACTTTGACGTCTCCACGGGACTTGGCATTATTCACGGGTTCCAGCGTCCACGAATTGAATTGTCGTGTCGGAAGGCAAATTAATTGAATGCTTAATTAAAGTGCACGACGCGATAAGACAATATACAAACAATCAGGTAATTCGTGATACCATCGTATACATATGTAAATAGCAAAAGATACTTTTCGTGTACTTGAAAGAAAATTAACTAGATTGCCGAAAGATTCTAATACAACGCACTTTCGTACGTGTCGCGGAACACGCACTTACGGATAGAGCCGCACGTATAGAGTCCATCTAGGTACAATACGGTCATGTGTCCCAAGACCCTTATTTCGCTATGAGACACGCAAGCGTTCCGTCACGCATTGCGTACGAAACGAGCTGGTCAATTAGAAGAAAAATCAGGCGGAAACGCAGCGTCACGTAGCGAGCTGGCATATCCTCATAATTCCATGTGTATAGCGGCCACGTGTCCGAGAATTCATACGTGCCTTTATTTTTCATGAATTCCAAGCGCGTCGCGCAGCAAAGAGGTCAAGTGTAAAGTATGGGATTATATTAAAGAAAAAAATTTATTATCAATAATAAAGGCATAATTCTCGTCCCTCTTATGCTTTACGATTCTAGAATCGCACATTCGAATTTCAATTCGACGATCGTAACTGACGATGCTCGTATGCACATATGCATATGTGGGTTATTTACGCGAGGCTTGCCCGTGCAATATGACAACGCGTAGGCGACATTATGGTTGTGATAAAGATATTGTGATTTAATGAGTGTGTACCAAAGTTTTAATAGAGCGACCAAGCACTAAAATATATATATATATATATATACACATAGATATATACGAACGTGCCGATAGTACGTCAGCCATTGTGCATACGGTGTTATATAACTTTGTTGAGAAAGTTTAATGGGAAAGTTTGACACGTGTCCTTGGCACACGTGTCAGCCCGTAGTAAAATTTCATCGAGTCTAATTTTTATGGTCTTGCAAGCGGGACTTTACCGGAAGCGAAAACTGATATTTCGTTTTGCTCGGTTTGCCCGGGATGGGCGGATGGGCGAGGATGGCGGAATGCAACGAACAAATGAAACCACAGTGGACGGATGACGAGCAAAACAAACGGAACGAGGAAAACAAAACGGACCTCTTTTTTCATCTGAAACCGGTCGACTAGGGTCACGAGGATGGTTTTCTAGGGTGTTACACGGATAGGAGAGTTAGAGGGTGCCGGGTGGTTTCACGCTGCCGGGACGAAGAGCGGGAGAGAAGTTGCGGAGCACACTCCCTCGAGAAAAATGAGGCCGAGTTTTCCCGCGCTTTCGTTTCCCTCCCTCTTCGCCCTCCTTTCGAGAATTTACCGGTGAGCAGCGAAGGGGTGGTTCCCGTATATATATATATATATATATATATATATAGGCGCGCGACTGCGTCCAAGTACGCTCGTGTTAAGCGGGGGTCGGAAAACTCGAAAGGGGTTCCCACCGACAGTCAAGGGGAAGTTTCGATCAATATCCTTGCACTCGACTCTTATGCGCAGACTCGCACGCGCCAGGCGTACCACACTTGTACATCACAAATCTCCTCGACCTCCCCTCCTCTCCTGTTGCGTATCTTTCAGGCGGTTATCTTTTTTTTTTATTTTCTGTCATATTATTTTACCCCAATATCGCTCGCGGATTTCAGCCGCTCTACCGGTACGAGCGGCTCTTCCCTCCTGAAAGTTCGAGAATTAACGGAAAGCGAGAAAAAGTTTATTCCGACTTCGCATCCACCTCTTATGCTGGGAACGTTGCGTTTTTCATGGCGTCAAGGGAAATCGTATCATCTCAACCTGACATTATTACCCTCTCCGTGCGCGTCGATATTTTCCGATAGAATTCAACACGTCGCTCATTACGAAATGGGATGGATCAATGTCTCCGGTGCGCGTGACGTAATTTAATGGGGGATATTTTTTAAAGGAACACACACCAGCCACGGGGCCTCCCTCTCTGTCGATACAGTCCTGATCCGCCAATGCCACCTCCTACGCCGCAGAACGTATACGTGACGTAGTTACCGGTGGGGGCGGATGACGTCAATGGTCGATACACACTCCGTTCTCCAACCAGCTTACTACTACTACTAGTACTACGCCAGTAGGCAATACCAACCCCCTGTCCTCCAGTCCTCCTGCTCCATTGGCAGCTCCTACTATAATGCGTACCCGTGGCGGTGGGTAGCACGTCAATGACTATTTTTCTTATATTTCTATTTTCTGTCCCTATCTATTAAAAAGGTAAAACACCCTGAGGGTGGTTCAACCCCGCGAACTTTATTCGATACTTTCTATTGGAGTAACAGGAAGAGAGTGGATAACCCATTTAAGGTGGAACTCGGGGGGGTGGAAATGAGATATATATTCTCTCGGAAGGATAAAGGGGACGATGGTACGTCTGTGGTCCTTCAAAGGATAATTTGTGGCCTAATACCGAATAGCTACGCGGAGACAACGCGTATAAAAATATAAATTGGGATTTTTAGGGTCAATAAAGCATGGACGATCAACGACGGGGGTTGGTTGCTGGATGCCGAATCATTCGAATATCCTGGGCTTCGAACGGGGCTGCAAGAGACATCAACTCGGCCCGAAACTCGTAATTGGACGTAAAATCTAACCTCTCATGATCGACAGGGCGCGTCTTTCCTCGTTATTTCGAGCGGCGATAAACTCGGTAATCGTTCCTTTCAAGGTATCGCTTGGCGACTTAATAAACAGCCCTTCCGGCTCTTATGCCTCTTATAGCCAGTTTACACCGTCCCTTTTGAGATTCTCCCTTTTCGTTTCTCAGTCTCGCTCTTTCTACGTTCTTTATGTCTCAAGTTCTCTTACTTTATCGCTCTCACCTCGTCAACTTCCCATTAAAACGATCCGAGGAAATTGCTGTGATCGGTATAGCATTACGGCGAATGATTTCTCGCGGCTGAATATTCCAAGGATATTAAAGAGTCCTCAATCGACCGTAAAGTATTTAAGGATTTGATGGTCGATACTTCGTGGATACATATTACATAGTCAAATACGTAATTAGGTGCATAAATGGAAGAAAAAAACTCACGTGCAATATAATTTTCTACAATTCCACCAAGAATACGATTACTTTCTATAATGTATGTAATATCCGCTAGGGCTGCTTTGGTAACTGGACGTACGTGTGCCAAAGCGTAGGTTGCGTCATTGTCCCGTCATTTTTCCAGGGGATTCATGGAACCGTAAGCTCATTAAAAAAAAAATCCTGTCAGCCACTCGCTGGGGAGAAGAAAAGGCAATGCTGGTCAGGCAAGGGTCACTCTTATTCGTGAACTCAAAATTGGAGGGTGAACCCCATGGCAATTCAAGCGAACACACATTTTCTTTCTATAGGCATTCCGAGGCTGACAATACAGAGATGGGGTTGAGGTCGTTTGAATTTTTTCGGATTAACTATCAAAGGGAGCCACGCGACAACTCTAATTGCATCTTTGACTCTAATGCGAATCGACTGATGCACAGAGCCGGTTCCCCTATGGCAAACGGTGCATAAAAAATACGTATATGAATTATACAAGGTCTCGCCCCCCCGGGACGGCGTCTGTACAACCCGACGCGTAGTGTCTGCGTATTATTTCGAAATTCCCATTTTTCCTTGGTCTCCGTCTCCCCCCTTTCTTTTACACCGCGGTTCTCTCCTTCATTTATTTATACGAAGCTGCGCCAATCCCCCGTGTATAAATTTGCTACTCAAACCGAGTGCGAGTAAATAAATAAAGAAACGTACCTCCCTGTCTATTGGCTCGTGCCGAAAAATTCCATCCTCTCGATCTCCCGCGATATTCGTCTGCCCTTGCTATTTTCTCGTTCCGCCGTCTCTATCCCTCTCGAATATGTGTCTGTCACTTTTTTCTCTTCTTCCTTCTGCTTTTTTTTTAACCTCCTTCTTATTGTCCCAGCGGGGACTACGAGACGCTTATTTCGGCAGGCAATCACAATGCCTAGCCAGACGGACTTACAATGCGCTGCCTAATGCGGAGCATTAACCCTAATCACCACCATTCATAAGCAAATTTGATTTCCTTTCGCAGCCCCGGGCATTCATAATCTTTTCACCGCCCCTTTCGCGCCTCCTTTTCTCGCGTTTTCCTACCCTGTGAACCATATCTGCCACGCATACATTATACATATATACGCAGACCTTGAGAAAGCCAAGGAGTGTACAAAAGCAGAGGGAGAGAGGGAGAGAGAGAGAGAGCGAGAATAAAAGAGAAAAATATTAAGAGAGAGAGAGAGTGAGTACAACCACCATCGAGTCGTAAACTGGTGAAAATAGGTCCAGAAATAACGTTCAGGATATTAGTATCAGCCGCAGGATGTTCCGAGGACGTGCTGCGCTTCGTTCGATGTATTATACAAGGACTTTGATCTTCTGATGGAATACGTGTACCTAAATATATATATATATATATATTTTTGTGCATGTATGTATTACTCCACCCTCTTCAATCCTCCTCACGACCGACCTCCAAGCAATTACGGGTATCGTGCCAGTCACGCCTCACACCCTCAAGGAATATTCTTTACTTCCTGTCCACCGGATATAGCCTAGAATGACGAAGCTCTCTTTTGGCTGAAATCACAAGGCGATTCGATCAAAGGCTAATCTCCGACTCATGCTTCTTTGCTTTATGAGCCGAATGTGATTCCCTATATCGTATACGCAATATACGTGACGATCCTTATACCGTTGTATCGATTACCTGAAAGATAGAAAAAAAAATAAATTAAATCGAAGTTAACCTTTTGATAAAGATAACGTATGACATAATCTCATTAGACGTATCCGTGCTGTTTCTTATACGGATCATGTAAAATGAATTATCGGTGATCGATCCCCTGTCTAAAAATCTTTTACACGGAACGTGTGTTTCGTAATAAAAAAAAAGTTTCCTAAGATCGAAACACACGATAGAATCTTTGGGAAGAGTCAAAATGAGTGTTGTATCTGGGTCAGACTCTCGTGAGCGTAGATAAAGTGCGTGCGTGGCCAGATAAGAAGTTCATGGGGGTGGTCTATGGGGATGGGGGTATTAGGTGTAGGCGTAGGAGTGCGTGCCCCGTAGGATAAGCCGAAAGACGAATGGCCCAGTCACGCGATTTACCACCCTTCTTCTTTGGTGTCCTCTCGGCAAACGTCAGGTCCCTGGATTATACGTCCCGGCAACCCCTTGTACCCTCCACGTAGATAATGTCATGCCAGGGTACATATATATATATATATATGTATGAAAACTCTACTTGGGGATGCTCACCGCCCCTCGCCCCTATTGCATACTCGGAGGATAAATACGGAAGTGACTCTCAAAGTTGTCCTTGCGGAATCGAATTCCGTCATCTGCCATTGGGTCCCAAAGTGAGGGACGATGTCAGTGCTGATCTCACTAAGGGTCGTAAAACCTTTCTAGCCGATCGAATGTACGATGGGTTATAGGGCATCGGTAGAAGTGTGCGTAGAACACGTTGACCCGAGCGAGGTCAACTTGGATAAATAAAGGAAGCTCAGGTAGGTAAGCACGCACGTGGCCACGCACGTTACTGCGTAATTCAGCCATTGTTAATATATTAGGGGTAGGTCCTGCCTGCTGCGTATTCATCCCTACTGCACACGTCAATGCGATTGGAACACGTGAGGATGTTCAGGGTGTAGGCGTACGTGGAGACACTGTTGCAAGGGCAGGTTGGGTTAGCTTTGAGGAAAAATTTCGGGGGTGGGGTGGAGGGTGGGGGGGGGTGAAATCCTAAGCGCCCTTTTATCCTCTCATTGTAGACCTGTAGGTCGATTTACATAAATGCCTTGAAATTAGGTCATGTCCGGGTCCATCCCTGAATTATATTAAATCGCCGGTAAGTCCGTGCTCGTCTCGCAGTGGTTGGGGTATGCTATTCTGGCCAATTATTATGGCCGTGCCATGGATAACGGTAGGAGAAATATGGTATAGGGAATCGAGAAGGGAGGAAAGTGGCTGGCTGGCTCGATGGCCGACTGGGATGAGCCTCGGTGTCAGCGGCTCGTTTCACGGGAAATTGGAACGATTTAGCTTTGGGACGATAACGACTGCTCGACGTTCTGGCGTCGTCCGAAGGCGTAACGACTCCGTTAACGAGAGCATGGCTCGCCGCAATATGCTCCCGAGATTCATACCGGTCCCTCTTCATCATGGAGTTCGAATATTCCCACTGGCCTACCGTCACCTTCTTATCTCGACTCTTGACGATAACCTCGACGTATCACACCTCATATGCATAAGGTAATAAAATATTTCCATCAACAAAAGATTCCAACGACACGCGTTAAAATATTGTTCGCTGTCATCGTGATAAATCGTAATATCATTCTCCGCGAGTATTACTAGGTTGCGCTTTTTTTTTTATCGATATCGTCTAAGAATAACCGCGTCGCGCGCGCATGCGCACCGCCGTGTCCGATTGGCATAGTGTATAAAGGAGGTTCAGTCGCCACTCTGTCTGGGTCATCGCGTGTCTCTTGAGAAAAGGGCCACCACGTGGAAAATACCTTGCCATGCCCTGGTATCGTTTCGTCGTCATCCGCAGCGGGCACGCTAAGCGGACATAGCGCCGCAACGCGCCGCGTCGCATTCTTAAGCATGCGGCTTAATGCTGTACTCCGTCGCCCCACTACCCTACGATACCAGCCAGTGCCCTCGTCCGGGATGACGCGTTACGTCTGACGACGGCGCCCTAAGCCCTGAGCCTTAACCGGTGCCTGATAGTCTGACCTGGTGTCACTGGTGCATGGGAAATGCAGTGAGCCCGTATAAAGTTCACGGGTCCTCGAGGTACGAGATGCAAATGTCTAGGAAGTTCACAGTTCATCGGTACACTGTGGTATTTAAGGGTCGCTTTATTCCCGAACGCCTGAAATAGTCAGGAACTTGATGTCTCTCTCTATAACACGGGTCGACTATTTATACTGTGAGATAATGGTACATATATACACATGTAGATGCTGGAGAAAATTTCTTAGTCATATTCGCAAGGTGCACCGACGTCGGTACCAACCCGTCAGGTCGATATTACCGTGAGAAATGTCAAGAGCCACGGAGTCCTGTAGATTGCAGCAGCAGCAGCAGCAGCGAGTCCCGGATATTCTAGGAAGTGGGTCAGTCAAGAATCGAGCCAGTTCAAATCCGATTGTAATCCCACGAGAATCTGGAAAATAATGGCGCTTCGAGACGAAGTTCGTATTCTGTGCTGTTAATCTCCCAGGCAGACGGCAGACTGAAATGAAAGAATCGTGCGACATTAGCGAAATTACTTTGGATGAGGGATTCAAGACAGTCCATTTTTTTGCACTTTCGGTATATATACATATACATAGTCGGTCCATCTGTATAGTGCTCGATCTAGAGAAATCCTTCGCATTGCGGCTCATTAAAAAATGACTCATTATTTTCCTCACTGCAACCAAGGACCAAAGACATTGAGGAAAATTCAAAGCTTGCCGGTGTCCATAATATTCACGACCACCCCATTCTGATTCTTGAACTTTGACCTGCTCTCCTATGGAGACTAAGGTATTTTCAATAGGTCAAAGATCGCCTTCCCTATAAATGAGATTAGACGCATGATGATAGCCGATAAATAAAAAATCAATGAGGTTAATTTATTTTGAAAGGCGCTGTATAGCTTTAGGCAGTGCATATACGCAAGGATTCCCCTAGAATCACAAGGGAGTGCTTGTGCCTCATATTATCTACTTGAAGACATTTACGCGTCAATATACCTGAAGGATTCTTTGAGCGACCGCTAAAAGGATGTAAAAAAGCAATATCCCTAGGAGGCACGCATCCTTTTAGCCAGGATCCTGTAGCGAGGTTGAAAGGAAGGATCCGAGTAAGGCCAGGAACCTCGGTCCTTTAGAGTCCTGATCGTGGGCGAGGTGGCCTCGTAAAAGAAAAAGAGAAAGTCAAGAAGGATTCCGCACGGTGAGAAAGAATGGCAAGGAAAGGCTTGTAAACAAGGAGTGACGTCACGATTCACCCTCAGGCGTATATTCACCCTGATGCTCATCCTCCACCCTCACCTTCGGCATTCTTATCCCTCCCTGTGCTTCCTTTGCGAATATAACCAAACACTCGAAAAAGCGCTAGAGGTCAGGGGAGAGGGTAGTCTACGTGACGATAACACCCAGTGCTTTCCTACCCCCAAGGAGAAATAATGGCGCCTTTCAATTACCCACCCCGTAACCGCCCCTGGTCGTATTTTATTTCCGGGAGAAAACAGCCGTGACTTTTTCCCTTTTATAAGTATTTTTCTGATTTTTATAACGATACGCCAACCGCGTTGACAACGAGGCCCTGGTACACAGCTCCAAACCCCGTATGCATGCAAATCGATGACTCCAACCACCGGAAGCAAAGAAGCTTCAGCTAGATTTCCATCACTATTCAATCCATGAAACTCAAGACACTCCCAAATAAGCCGGTCACATGATATTTCATTAAGCATTTATATTTTACAGCAACTCCGTCACGTGCTAACCGTTTTCCGTTTATACCGGAAACAGTTAATAATTATTAATGGAGCCTAGAAAACCATAAGCATTGTTATTACCTCTAATATCATAGTGTATATCAATTATAGATAATTATATTTCATGCGGGATAATCATGATAACCCTGTATCAACCAATGTATCAAAAGAATTATGGGAACTATGTTTATATATCTTTAAACAAAATTCCACGACATGCTTATTCTTATTATTATCAAGTACACGCAGAAAAATAATTACTACCGCGATGGTGAGTCATTTGGACAAAGATTCTAAAGGTATTGACATATCTGTCGAGATGTATCATTATGATTGTGATTTTTACTAGATTATATTATCAATCGTCACTATAATTTTTTCTTTTCAAAATTTACTTCATGCAATTCCCTGGCAATCGCAATCGCATAATTCTCTCTGTCCAAGTTAGGTATACGTGTCGTAGGTTGTGTCAATTTTGAAATAATTTAAATGAATACTACCCATAGTGTACACGTAGCCATGCAAGAAGTTGTTGGCTGACGGATGTGACGTAAGGTCCGAAACGCGTTACTCACGAGAGAAAGGAGTTGTAGGACCGTGTACTTTTACGAGAAGGGGTTGGGGGTCTTTTGGCGCAAGGGTGACTGCCGTCCTTTAAATCTGGTGAAACCCAAACGAACAGCGCGCGCGCGCGCGGCTAGCTGTTAGCGGATTAAAGTCGTACCTTACTCCGGCTGGCTATGCGCTTACGTAAAGCGCAAGCGGAGAGTCGACGAGAACAACGAAGAGGGAATACGAGTTACGCTCACGACTCTCGTGTCCTCGTAAAGCTGCCTCAGAGTTTTCACCCAGTCCTCCGGCGGCGGTGCCACCCATTGCACCAGTATAGCAGTAGCCATGTTTTTAGAAAATGGCGCGACGATCTGGCGACGTGGATAATTTTCCCACTTCTCGGATGAGCCCTTGCGTACCTAGGATATTTCAAGAAGACTGACGACCCACAGAGTTTTATATGAAGAACATTACTTATAGACTATTAAGTAAGGGGTAATACGATTTTCCCGAATTTATACCTTATTCGTATTTTATTTGATCGCTCAAAAACAATTCTGAACTAAATGTGCAGGGTTACTCGATCTCACGTATTTCCTGTATAGTTACGTCATACGATTTGCATCGGTATTTTCTGTAGCCATAGTCACTCACCGTCAAAACGGCGGGCAGTCTTTCTTGGATTTTCACGCTTCCGGTTCACCCCATTGGGGCTTAAGGGACGGGTTTCCGGGCCCTCGTCACGAGACTGACACACGAAGCTTTATTTACCGCACAAAGCCCATCACCGCTTGCGAGCTTACGGACAACCCCTAAAACCCTTTGGCCTTCCGCAAAACCAATCCCATCACCCCGTTATACTCACCCCTTTACCCGGTCCTGTAACTAGGTAAAACCGAGTTCTGACAACAGCACGGGGTTGGAAACGCGCCCCGAAGAATTCATCCACTGGCTTATACGTGCTATCGCTGTATGAAAGCACATATGGTAGACAGCATCAAATTCTTTACTGTCCAGCCCCCTAAAACATATGAGTACATAACGTGCCCGTGAATGGCAGACGTATTGTCGTATTGTTTTACTTTTCGAAAGATGTCCCACGTGCAGGGGACGAAAATTCATTCAGTTAAGAAAATAGCCGTAAAAATAAAATCCCTGGACCAATCCAGGCGTCACGCTCACAGGGGTGAATTCACGGAGCAATATGGTCGGTATAAATCATGCCACGATTAAAAATGAAAAATGTATTAACAACGAGAGTCTTGGCCCCGTCAACCCCCTTTTACTTAGAGCTTCTGCAATAGTAAACACGGTGCGAGCAACGAGTATTTCGCCGAGGGTGTTTCGGTCACGTTCGCATCGTAAAAAGGAGCCGCAGTAACGACGAGTAAAGCCAGACCGCAACGTAGTTATACGCTAAGGGAATTCCAGGGGCTCAAGTAAGACTAAAGAGTCAAGAAAACGAAAAATACCAGCCCCTGGTGTATATACGCGTACGGTGCAGGATAGGGAGAAACGTCGGTAAGGTTTTAAAACTTTTTCGAAGCTTCTATTAAAGATTTCACTTGATTTGGTAAAACCGACAGGTTTCCACGACGACGTCGTTCTGATTGCGTTCGCTCACGTACACGAACACCGGGTTACGAGCACCTGGGACCAGTTAACGATGACAGCCCTTTTCGTAAGAAGGGATGAAGCGGAGAAGGGTAGGGTGGCAAAGGGGATGTAAAATGATGGTTCTCGGCTTTCTACATAGTTGGTCGGTTGGTACGCGCGGTTGGGTGACTTTGACGCTTTCGACGTACCCAAAGGTACGCTGACTGACGACTCATTACTTAAAGTTACTGTTTCTGGAAGCAACGCGAAGGGTTCTGAATATGTTAATTACACTTGCTCACGGTGGCCCATATAAATTGGGTGAGATTTCACTTGCTATAGTAACGGGGCTAAAACGGGGCTTCGTCTTTAAAGCCACCCTTAAAAGCTGCTAACCGTGGCCCATACCTTCTGAATACCCTTTTGCTTAGGATCCTCCAACTATCCCCTCGACACCCTCTATGAGGAGCAATGATTCATTTACCGAGAGACAGAGTCATTAAGTCTAGCCCCGGATTCACGTGAATACAACCAAGCAATCCTACCACCATCATGTTCCTCGTCGTGAATAATTAACGCGGGGGTTGCTGCCGCTTTTACATAGGCCCGATAGTTCCGTATACTGGAGTGCGCTAATAATAAGGAGAGATCCCTTTACCCCTTGCCGTACATAATACAATACCAAGAATGCAAAGGGTAAACCACATAGGTGTATATATATATATATATATATGTCGATATCAACCTTTATTTCTGCAGGGGAGCAACAAATGCATCCCTGCTAGCAGAGGAACAACCCTTGGCGCAGGAGCCATATAACGAAGGGTACTTTTGCCGCATTCTAGGAAACGATTACTCTTCCCTCGTGTACTAAGAAAATCTCGCAGGAAGTAGAAGCTACGCCATTTTTTACAGCACTCATATAAAGGGGTCGCGGGGGATGAGCTGGATAGGGTTGCACGGAGGCCAGTGGGGTGGTTGCGTTGTATACCCTCCGTAATTTGTCTTGCAGACCCCATGCAACCACCCTTCGTTTGCAATTAAAGAATTCATTTTTTTTTGTTTTCTTACCCTTCCTCCTCCACCCCCTCCCCCAACTCTTTGAAAAATGATTTTACATTAGATTGTATTTCCGGTCTAGCAGGGTACAATCCCCGATGAACTTAAGGGCGCTAAAGGTGGACCTAAAGGACGAACCTAGGGGTGCGCTGGATGGTCGGCTGAGCTACGGGTAATAGACTGAAACTTACCGAGTTTAAGGGCGGCGTATACCGCCAGCAGAGCAGCAATGTTACGAAATGGGCCAGTTTTACAGGCAGTAAAATGTTGATTGGAATCCTGGCGATCGACCTACCTCCCGCCCCTCCCCTTCCGTCCCGGACCTACGTTTTCCTACAGCAACCCTCTCCCTTCAGTCCTTCAAGCCCTTGGGTCCTCCTCCGTACAACCAAACCTAACCTCTCCACCCTTATCCCTAGCCAATCCGCTCGCGGCACTAGCTTTCAATGCATATCAAGCAACTGCAGGTAAAATGCGTGACGGTCTTACTTGCTCTCTCATTCGGTTTTCTGCTCAGAGGCTAGTTTCAGCCCTTCTCTTTGCTTCCATCAAGCAACCTTCCTCGGTACCCTTGCAATTTCGAGTTCTGTCGATAAGACGAATTAAACCCGGAATAAATGTGATAAGGGATAATACTTATAGTAACTAGAGGACGGGGAGAGGGGCGGGGGTCGACGGGAGAAAAGGATATAGAGATAGAATGAGAGTGGAATCTATTCTAGATGGATGTTCGTATTTTAGTAGTCGGGAAACTTTCATTGGCAGTTCTTGCAAGTTCCAATAATTCCTTCGCTTCTTCACTTTTGTCCTTACATACTTTACGTAGTCCGTCCCTCTTTGTGTGAAGTTCATAAAATACTACTGGCATAATTATGACTAAGGGTTCGGAAGAATCGAGGGTCGAAAAATGTTAGTAAGCTCTTAGACGTTCTATAATTAGCTGCCAGTATCTTTGCATTCTTATTTAAGGTTGACCCGCTTGCCAATCTAACTTCGTGCACATTTACTCTCGGGATCGGTAGCGAAATACCTATCGATTGGTAATACGAGGGTAGTTCGATATTCAGTATCGCCGCTGTGTCTGATGAGCGACTGTTTTATTTACTAGGACGTAAGGGGTAGCCGTTTCTATCGATATAAGAGACATAGACCACGCTTCGGATGGGTCACGGAGGTGTTATGGTTGCAAAGGGATGGCACTGGGCTAAGGGGTTGCATCTGCCAGGTATAGGCTGAGCATTAGCAAAGTGGGTTTCTGGCGTAAAAGGGTGGTAGAAAGATAAAGCCAAAGCAGGTGAAAGGCTAACGAAAAAGAGGCGAAATAAAAGAAGAAATGGGTCACACACGTGCTGGTTGGCTGTATGGGGGTGGCTCTTGCTCCCGTCCGGGGATGTACACGCCTGCGTGGGCCTCAGGGGTGGTTTCGAGTTGAGTCGTCGGCGAAGGAGGGCACTGAGGCCGGG